AACATGGGGCCTAGCCCAATTTGAATAAATCCACTAGTATTTGCAGATGATTATAAATGAGGCCCTTACTTGGGGCAAATGCCTTAGCTTAATATAATAAATATACATCATATAGAGTGCATTACATATTGAGAATTAAAAGAATTAGTATTGACCTTTTTTTGTTGGCAAGACCGTAGTCGGTAGGTGATGAAGGTTGAAAGGATCCTAGTCGGTGGGTGATTGAGGTCGGAAAGACTGTTATCTGGTGATGGAGGTTAAATGGATCATAGTTTGACGATGGAGGTCAAAAGGACCGTAGTTGGTAGGTGATAGTGGTTATAAAGATCATTATTGAGTAATAGAGGTCGAAAGGACTATAATTGGCGGGTGATATTAGTCATAAGGATTATTGCATGGTCATGGAGGTCGGAAGGATTGTAATCTGGCAACGAAGGTCCAAAAAGACCATAGTTTGTTGGCAATAATGGTCAGAAAGACTGTTGTCTGACAACGGAGGTTGGAAAGATCATAGTCGGCAGGCGATAGTGGTCAGAAAGATCGTTGTTGGGCAACTAAGGTCAAAAAGATCGTATTCTGATGATGGAGGTCAGAAGGACCGTAGTCAGCAACTCAATGGAAGTCCATAATCAATCGGTGGACTGGTAGATGTCCGATGTGAGTCAGTGGATGGGTAGAAGTTCAACGTCAGGTAATAGCCGGGTGTAAGTTCAATCTCAATCGGTGGTCGAGCAGAAGTCAGGTGTCAGTTTGGTGGTCGGATGTAAGTCTAACATTAATTAGAATCCAAGTGCAAGTCCAACATCCAGATAGAAGGTCATTGTTAGTTAGTGATCGGGCGAAAGTCCGACAATAGTCCGATGATGGTGGGTGGTTCGACGGTGGTCGAGGAGGAGTTTGGAGGTAAGATAGCTCTAATTTCTCTCTCTTCTTTTTCTTTTTTGCTTCCCTCGATCCCCCTTAATGAAAAATTAGGGGTATATTTATAGTTTTCTCAGCGAGGCATGACTAGTAAATAGGAGGAAGATCAAGGGTAATGTGATGCCCCAGAATCTAAATTGAAAGAATTATTCTTATCTTTTAATAAATAATAACCAAAGCAATCTAATATCATTTATCATTAATAAACAGCAAAATAGATTCTATAATTCAAAATATTAATGTACACATATGTATTCATTCTCAAAAATCATACATAATACTAATGATCTATATAATCATCACACACACACACACACATACACACACACACACACACACACACATACATATATATATATATATATATATAATCTTGAGTATAAAAGAATAACTAAATAAAATAAAATAGAATCAAAAAAATTATAACTATCCTCACACTTCTTGTCCTCTGCCCTGACCTAAAATCATTTAACCATATATAATGAGCTAAAAAGTCCAGCATATTAACCAAACCTATAATTGAATTCAAAGCTCAATAAAGGAGTAATATGCATGTCAATGATAAAATCATATCAGTAACATTCATATGATCATTGAATCAATGCAGAAATAGTAAAATTTATATGTCGTAGCAGTAAAATGTATAAAAAGTAAAATAATATGGTACAAAAGTCTAATAAAGTGATAAACTAGTATGAATGTCAAATCTATAAAGCAATTTTTATATCATTAATATCAATCTGTACATAAATCATATACAGAAACAAATCAAAATATCAATAAATATTGTCAAAATCATGTTAATCCAGTAAAATCATATAAGAGTATACATATACTATTCATGTATTATATATAACGAGCTTAGTATATCACATGCTTACTATCAATATAATGAATTAGTAGTATGAAATAATATTAGTATCTAAATTGATAATATTAACAATCTAGTGACACAAGTAGTAAAATAATATAATAACAGTAAATCCATGTAGTAACAATAAATTCATACAATAATAAGAACAATGTCTCAAGAATATGCATTCCAGTAGTCACACTAATATACAAGTAAGAAGTCATAGCTATCATGGTGTTTTTTCAGTATTGTATCAATATCAATAAATTGTTGGGTTAGTTAGTAGAGTCGTCACTCTTTACTAGTAGTATAATAAACATCTCCTTATAACTCTCAATCATTATCACGTGAATCAGTTGAGGATAATATCAAATCACAGTATTTAAAGGAAAGTCTGTTGACCCACCATCCTGTACAGGTCAATTAGTCTCCAACCAATAAGTCAACCAAACTTTATTTGTCTTTTACACAAACATTATTATCAAACACATATTTCTTTTCTCTCTCTTCTCTTTTCTCTCTAAGGGGCTGTTTGGTTGCTTGAATTAGGAGGGTAAAGTAAAATAAATACATGAATTTACTAAATTAGGTTGTTTGGTTAATTTTGAGCGGAACAAAAGTAACCCATCTGATGCATTAGGCGTGTAATAGGGAGGCTGTTTTGAGTGAATTAGAAATCCGCTCATATCGAGCGGGTTACAAATTCGCTCGACGAAGATTTTCTCCGCGTCGTTGCTGTTCGTCTTCATTGCTTCGAAGGTGGTGTAAGATTGCATGAGAGGATTCTTCGGCTCCTTCGTTCTTCTCAGACTTCGCGCGACGACGTTCCCTTTGCTGGCCTGTCCGATTGGAAGCTTCGCTATTTTCATCGGAGGTAAGGACGGGAGCTCGATTTCGCATCATCGTCGTTACTGTTCGGCTTCATTGCTTCGCACGAGGTGTAAGATTGCACAAGAGGCTTCTAGGGCTCCCTCTCGTGTTTTTTTTTTTAAATCAAACTCCCTCTACGTCTCCCTCTCATTTTTTTCGCGATACCTTCTGAGTCCTGGCCCTGTCTACTCCCAGTTCGCGAAAAGCCCCAAGTATGCCCATCTCCTGCTGCTCGCGAGACATGGCTTCGACCTCCTCTCTGCCGTTCGCAAGCCCTAGGACCAAAGCCTAGCCCCAGTCTCCCTCGCCATTCACAAGAAGCCCCCTTTGCCCGTCGCTCCCAGGTCCATCTCCTTCTCCTCTCTAGGCTTTCTTTCGTGAATCCCAGGCCGAGCCCCTCAAAGACAAGCAGGCTGAATGGGAGGTCATATTTGGGAATTTTTAATGATGTTGACGGTTCATATTCAGCTCTTGATACTCCTTTTACAGATGTGGCAATGTTGTAAGCTGTGATCACTCTATGATTGTCCTTTTGTAGCTTTCATTTTGAAATAGTTTTTCTGAATAATGCTTTCAAGCCTTAACTCCGTGAAAATGAATTTGTCAGTTTGCGTTAAGTCTGATTTGAACAGGTTGCTGGATCAAATTGCTTGTTTATTGAAGGAGCATCTGCATCACACGCAATATCTGTATTTATAATATCTCAGTTTTTGCAATTGTTTCCAGTTTTGTTCTCAAAATTGTTCTTATTATGCCAGCTTAATGTTGCGTATGAATTTTAATCACTAGATCAAATTGAAGGGACCGTCGGAATTTGTCAGAAAATGACATTATTGGATTTCACTATTTATGCTAGCATGCAGGCAAAAACAAAATTTGCACATATGAATACAAGACAGATAGATTTGTTAAATTTGATGCAGGTAGACCTGTTGAGCCGACTGCAATCTCACTATTTGGTCATCTTGCTTGGCTATTGTGCCGATCAGAACCACCGTCTGCTTGTCTTTGAGGACATGACGAATGGCTGCCTTCAGCAACATCTCCATCCCAAAACATATCAGGCAGATAAACCATACCGGCAGCTTCATTGGAAGATGCGTTTAAAGATTGCTCTTGACTGTGCTCGTGGCCTTGAGTTTCTCCATGAGCACTCCATCCCTCCAGTCATCCATAGGGACTTCAAGAGCAGTATTGGATTAGTTGAAATTTTGGTTTCTTAAAGATTTTACCTATTTAAAAAACTTAAATTTTTTTCTTTGCCTTAGTTATTCATGAGCTTCTACTTTTCTGTCTTCGAAAGCTAGAGAGTCTGTCCCCTGTTGAGAATCATAAACTAATTGGCTTGTGAAAATTTTGTAATTATTTAACATTACTTAGCTGAAAGTTGGTGCCTTAGTTATTTGTTGACTTTAATTATTTAATTATGTTGATTTTCATCATTGATTATTTAGCCAAACTAATATTATTTTAGGACTTCAAAAATTATAAAAAATATTCATAAAATAAATAATTTTATTTAAAAAATATTTGTGAAATCAGTTTGAAAAAAGTACACCTGTCGGTCCCAAAATTCTTATTTGTATCTATATATGCCAGTTTCTTAAGGATTTTTGGCAGTCCCCTAAAATTACGAAAAAATGCATGCAAATAAAATAATACAATAACAACACTATGACGAAGACGGTTTGCAATTTAGTCTTATATTGACTCAAAAAAATTATTTACCTCGATTAAAATATGAAATATTACACGTAAGTTGGGAGTGGTTTAAATGTACAATCGATGTTGATCCCCTTGATCGTGGGCCGTTTAATGGATATTTGAATGTCTTAATGATATCAGAATTTAGCGATCTTGGGCTCGTTGGATTTGTCTCATCGAGCTACTCGATTCGAATAAAAGCATGTCACGTTTGTAAACTATTTGGTCATCCAATTTATAGTTTGAACCTTCCAAATGCGCTTTGGGTCTTCAATTCAGACCCATTTGGGCTCGGATTGAGCCAAATTTGATGTTGTTGGGCTCGTCTTTTCGAGACGTCAGTTCGACTATAAGCTTGCTTAAACCGGAGTCCATATGATTCCGAATTTAATTTTGAAAATTTTCAATTCAATTTTGTCTCGAGATTTGTGCTTAATCAAGATATTTTTTTTATGATATATCAATATGATATATCAATATGCTATTGAGATTTATGCTAATGTCAAAATTAAAAAAATGATTTACTTCTCACGTTCAGGATATTTTGCAACGTTTTACGATATTTCTTATTAACGAAGGCATTCGTCGATTTCTTATAAAAATTGTATTAAAATATGATTTTGTGTAATCCCTCGAACGCGCCACGCCGATTCCCAATTCCCAATTCCCAATTCCAGACGCGGCCTTCGCCGGCGGCAGACCGCCCGGCCATTCGCTCTTTCTCTCTAAAAATTCGACCAAATTAACCTATAAAAGAAAATCCCCAAATACGACTGCACTCTCCCATTCCATTCTCAATCAATCCATGGCTAACTCGTTGACATCATCCTCCCGCACCTCCATCCCCTTTCTCTCTCTTGTCTTCCTCATCGGCCTCGTTTTCTCCGCCTCTTTCTCCTCCATAGCATCGGCCTACCAGCTCGGCGGCGTTCGTGGATGGGGGAGAAAAGTTGGAGGATGGAAGGATATACCTGACGCTGCTTCGAACCTAGAGGTACGAGATATTGGGCGCTACTCCGTCGATGAGTACAATCGCCGGCTCCGAGGCCCCGGTGAAGCCCCCATCACCTTCTCCGGCGTTCTGAGCGGCCGTCGCCAGGTGGTCTCTGGCATCAAGTACCATCTCCGCGTGGCTGCCGTGGGCTCTCACAGCAGCGACCACCTCACGTTCGATGCAGTTGTTATCACCCGCCCTTCGATCCCTGAACGCAGCCGCGACCTCCTTTCTTTCACCCGCTCCGATGATTAGTCTGTTCCCTGCTCTCTGTAGTAGTACGTATATGAAGCTTTTTTATGTTTCTTTCGCAGTGAATACCTTTCCCTTTTTATGCTTTGTGATTATAAGAAAATTTCTGTTGTCTCTGATTGCTTGTAACTTCTGATTTGAGCTTGACTAGTCTGCCATTTTCTCTTCTTTTTTTCCCTGTATTTTGCTTTTGGTTTTTGTAAATAAGCAAAAAGATGGAATAATATTGATTTCCATGGAAACATTGAATTCATCGATGCCTATTGGGATTTGGAATTGTAAATAAACATGTAAAATAGCATAGCAACAGAAAAAAAAAAAAAAAACAAGCTCTTTTCTCAAGCATGTAAGCCTATTATTTGCAAAGTGTGATTTTTCTTATGTAGAACTCCAGAATGAAACTGCAATTTGTATAAATCATTTACAAAGATTCGTAAATTTCATTTGTCATGCTTATAGAACTGATTATTATGTCTATTGCTCAAATCTTATCAAGATAAGATTTCATAATATACTTTTAGAAACAATTATCAAAACTTTCAATTTCAACTTGGGGCCAAATAACTCGAATTGGATTCCATATCACCCTTATACAC